GCAATGGGTTAGTGCAAAAAATCCAGAACGGTGAGAGGTAAATATGCATAGAACAGCAATAAAGGCGACATCTAATTATGTTTCTGGGTCAGGCTCTGCTGTATAAAATTCATTTAAAACTGCGGTTTGGCAAATAATTTCTGTAAAAAATGTCAGCCGGTGGTTGGGTTCAAGTGACAAGCTCATTCGAAGATTTGTCTGCAAAGGTAGAGGATGTCATGTTACCAAACTCTCGAAAAAGCAGGAGAAACTTGGAGCACTGCCCTTTCCATATTTGGGAACAGACTGTAAAGTTAACAGCGACCGAGACAGGAATACAGATCAATGGAATGTAACCCAAGAGGAGAGAAATAAACCCTCATGTTTACATAAAGTCAGTTGGCTTTTGCCAGGAGTGTTAAAAAAAAGCCCCAATGACGAAAGAACGGTATTTTCAATAAATGATTCTAAGTCATGTGGTTATCCATATGCAAAAGGATGAATTTCAACCCTTACCACATACACCAAAATGAACTCAAAATAAATCAAAGGTGTGAATATAAAAACGTAGGTCTTCAATATAGGGGGGAAAAAAAAGAGAAAATCTGCAGGGTCTTGGGGTTGAGAAGGATTTCTTAGCTAATACCTCAAAAGCACAAGCTTTAAAGGAAAACAGGCATACTTCAGACCTCATCGAAATTAAAAACATTTGTACTTCAGGAGACACCATTGAGAAAACCAAAGACCAGCCATGGACTGGGAGAAAAGACTTGCAAGTCACCTTTCTGGTAAACGACTTGTATCTAAAAATATAAAGACGTCTTACAATTCAGTCATAAGAAACAAAGAACCCAGTTTTTAAAACGGGTAAAATATTTGACTAGACGAAGAACATAGTACAGCAGAAGATATTCCACATTATCAGTCATTTACTACATGCATATTAAAACCATGACGAGACACCATTTCACACCGTTAGGATGATTATAATAAAAAATGTAGGAGGTAGATAACAGGTGGACGGATTAGAACTTGTGAACGCTTCTAGTGGGACCGGGTGATGATGCACCGGGTTTACATAGCAGCCTGGCAGTTTCTTAAAATATTAAACATAAATGGGCTGTATAAAATGGCAATTCCACTCCTAGATTTCATTCCAAGAAAAAGGAAAATATATGTCCACAGGAAATAATTGTACACAAATGTTTACCACGGCATGATTCCCATTAGCCACCAACTGGAAGCAACACGAATGGCCATCAGCAGATCACTGGAGGAAGAAACGATGGCCTGTTCTTTCAGTAGAATATTATCCGTCCGTATAAAAAGAAGCGTTGATGCACGCCGCCAGCGTGGGATAGACTTTTGACACCATCACGCTGAGGGAAGGAAGCCAGACGCAAAAACTGCGTGTCGTATGAATTCATTTCCATGAAACGCTCAGAAATGGGAAATTGATGGAGTGGGAGAAAGTAGATTCGTGAGATCTGGAATGTTATTCCTTGATGAATTGATTTTCTGGTATGTAAATTTCATCTCGGCGAGGCTCTTCAAAAACGCACTTGGGTTAGCGAAGGAATTTGGTGGCGAATCGGAGAGATCGTCGATCAGCCCGGAGTGCCACTTAATCGGCCACGTGGCCTCCACCGTGTACAGCCAAGCGCTGCGAAAGCTTGACGAATCTTTCGAACACTTCCCTCCGTTTGTGGGGGGAAGTTTCCCTGAGCACAGCTTCTCATCCTGCCCTCGGAATGATTTCAAATTCCTCAAATTTCATGTCCTCAGGGTGAGCTGGGTCTTGGGGCATGGGCGGGGGGGACAGTGCCGGCGTTTAATTCACCCCAGACCTTGCAGAAGGTCTTCGTGTGGTGTAAGCCAGGCCAGAGTTCACGCTTCCAGCTGCAGCGTGGAAGAGAAAATACATTTAGAGCAGGAAAATTTGGAAGAAGGCTGAGGTGTGAGGACAGGCTGATGGGAAGGTTAATTCTAACTGTCGGGTCCTAGTGGAAGAAGACCTTTCTCAATGAGGACTGCGTGTTTTCTAGAAGGCAGTGGTAATGTTATCAGAGAGTTGTCCAGGTTCTTGATGTCTCAAACGAAGAATTGAGTAAGACTCTGAAATACAGTAGAGAAGAAAAGCTTTATTAGAAGGGAGATTACACTCTCAGACGTGGACGTGGGCCTGAGCAAGAGAAGCATGGCTCAAAGGCCTGGTGACAAAGCCTTTGGAGTTTTCATCCCCATTTGCTGTGGGTGGTCACTTTTCTTAGAGGGGTGGGCTTCCTTGATTGACAGCTAGGATTGACGGGAGTAAGTGATTCAGCATTTTGCGTTCTGCGCATGTTCGTTCCCAGAATTCAGTCTGTTGTAATGATATTAATGAAGTTCCGGGCATATGCATCATATTATAACGATGGTATAACGAGACTCAGGTGAATTGAAGGTCGTTGGAGTCTTCATTGCACAGGTGCGAATGACTGGCTTAAAGTGGTACCTAATTCTCTGCCTACTGGTTTCTTTGTGTGAGTTGAAAAATGCCTTCTGGCTTGCTTAATCGTGGGCGGACGAGGGCGGACCCCGTCTAGGATAGGATGACATCAGTGTCTTTGCAGGCAGACCCGAAACCCCCTTATTATTAGAATGGATGTTTACGGGCAGAAGGTCTCTTCTTCCGTATCTGCTTCCTGCTTAGAATGGCTGTAGTCCCTGCCTACAGGAGTTTCTTGGAGCTTTTTCCTTTTCTGCCTCAGTCAGGGTGGGGTGCCACCTCAGTCCCTAGACAAGGAAAAGACACGGAAAAGCCTTTTGGCCTAAAGTCCTCCCCCACCCCCCAGCTCTAAGGGCCTCGTCTGACTTAACACCATTTCTGCTAATAATGGGTTGATGACCCTTATCAATAGCCAGAGGATCTCCGTCACCAATTTGCGGCAATTATCAGGATTTGAGGGAGAGAGCCTTTGTTTCCAAAGAAAAGAGGGAAGAAAACTTAACTAGGTTTACTAAAAAGATGAAGAACTCTGCAAGAGATGTCCCATATCATTTCCTGCTAAAAGATTAAGAATTTTTACAAGCATGTCCCATATCAATAAGGAGGCGGAGTCAGACTTTACAGGAGCTCTTCTACGAGGGAATCGGCTTTGCAGGAAACAAAATCTCTCCCCTCATCCATTCCTTGCCTTTTGAGTACAGCTTTCGTTTCCCTAGAATCTTTCCGTTTTTAATGAAAGAGATGACTGCTTTGTATAGAAACTTAAAATGAATATCTTCCCTGAATGAATTGAGTATTTTTTCCCCCAGAAACGCGAGCTTGTTTTCTGACACAAACGGTTTAGTTGTATCATCCACGTTATTTCTCTAAGAAAGGCACCTCCCTTAGACTTGTTTA